TTGTTAATTTTAGCCATTCTGACCAGTGTGAGGTGGTATCTCATTGTGGTTTTGATTTGTATTTCCCTGATGCCAAGTGATGTTGAGCATTTTTTCATGTGTCTTTTGGCCATTTAGATGTCTTCTTTGTAGAAATGTCTGTTCATGTCTTCTGCCCATTTCTTGATTGGATTATTTGTTTCTTGGGTGTTGAATTTGATAAGTTCTTTATAGATTTTGGATACTAGCCCTTTATCTGATAGGTCATTTGCAAATATCTTCTCCCATTCTGTGGGTTGTCTTTTGGTTTTGTTGACTGCCAAAGGAATATTTATATGTAAAACGAGAATTACAGGATCCTGGAGGTCTGGCCGATGTTAAGCTAAGGTTGCCTTTTGCCTTTTGCCTCTAGCAAAGTATTAACAAGGAGGCAGTTGAGTTCCTAGAGGAAGGTCACTCTGCCTGTCTCAAGGACTTGTCAATGGGCTGTAAGTAGTAAGGAAATTTAATTCTTTTTCTTTTTGCCTTTGTTCCCCACATCACTACCACATCACCCAACTATTTTACTCCAAGTGTCTACCCAAGAGAAGTGAACACATCTGTCCACACAGAGACCTTTCATGGGTGTGTTCATGACAACATTTTTCATAAATGTCTAAATGTTCAACCTCAATGTCTATTAACTGATGATCGGATGGAAAAAATGTAGTATATTGCACAATGGACCGTTATTCAACCACAAAAAGGAATGAAGTATTGATTAATGCTCCAGCGTGAAAGAACTTCAAAAACATTCTGCTAAGCAAAAGAAGCCAGTCACAAAGCCAAGCCACGTATCATATGACTCCATCTATATGAAATGTCCAGAAAGGTCACATTTTTTGAGATAGAAAGTAGATTAGTGGTGGCCTGGGGCTGGGGCTCAGAACAGAGATTAATCGTAAATATGCGTGAGGGTCTTATTAGGGAGATAAAAATGTTCCAAAACTTATTTATGGCGATGATTTCATCACTTGGTAAAGTTACTTAAAATCATTGAATTCTACACTTGAAATGGGTGAATTTTATGATATAAAATATACCTCAAGAGAGCTATTAAAAAGGGGGGCTAGAGATGGCAAGGAGAAGGTGGGTATAGCTGTTCCCCAAATATGCACCCAACTGCCGGAGGCTTGGGAGAACTTCAGAAAACCCTCTGGGTGCCCATGGAAGCTTTGGGGTTCCTCTACCCTGACAGGACAAAGGACACAGTGATTGAATGCCTTCAAATTGCTCCCATCCAAGGGATGCCTCTCTGCACTGTGGCTTTGCCCTTCCTCCTATCCAGATGTGGAGTCAGTTCTTCACCCCCTTGAGTCTTGGCTGGCCCTTGTGACTTGCTCTGGTCAACAGATATGGCCAAAGTGACACTGTGCCATTTTAAGCCTATGTCTCAAGAGACCTTGTAGCTTGCACCTTTGCTTTCTTGGACCCCTGCCCTGAGAATGCCTTCTGAGGGAGCTAGTCCAGCCTGGTGGAGCATGAGGGGCCACATGGGGGGCAGAGGGGGAATTGAAGTCCCCCAGCCAAGGTCACCAACTGCCAGACATTTGAGGCCATCTTGGACCTTCCAGCCCTATTGATACAGATCATACAGACCAGTGAGTGAGCCCCGGCCCCACCAGTGAAGAACCATCCAGCTGATCCAGAGAACTGTCACAAATAAAGGGGCTGTTGTTTTATGCCATTAAGTATTGGGATGCTTTCTTATGCAGCAATAGGCATCTGGGACACATACTTTGACTTTGCCTGTCCCGAAGCCATCTTTGTTGCGGTGAGGTTGTGGACCCACCTCTCACACCTGAGTACCAGGCTGCACACCTTTGCCCTCACTCCATCCCATGACCTCTGGGGCTTGACCTAGAAGCCATTTCTTTCAGGGCAGTGGTTATAAACCTTGGCTATGCAGTAGAATCTTGGGGGAGGTAACTTTGAAAATTGTGAGGTATATTACAGTCATTTATTATTGTGCAAGAAATCATCCTAAACCTCAGTGGCTTAAGACAACAATAATTTACTTTGGTCATAAATCTGCAATTTGGGGAGGGTCTGGTGCTAACAGCTGGTTTCTGCTACATACAGTGTCAGTTGGGGTAGCTCAAAGGCTGGGAGCCAGGATCATCTGAAGCCTGGCACTCTTGCATGTCTGGTGGTTGAGGCTGGGAGTCAGCTGGGAACTGTTGGCCAGAACATCTACATGTGGACATAACATAGTGGCTGGATTCTTAGAATGAGCTCCCCAAGAGAACAAGGCAGACGTACATGGAGTTTGGATGAGCTGGCCTCAGAAGTCCTAGTGTCACTTCTGCCATACTGTGTTGGCTGAGATGGTCACAGAGGTCTATCTGGGTTTAAGGGGGAAGGGCCTAGACCCACCACTGGATGGGAGGAGTACCAACATCACTCTGTAAGAACTTCTGGAAGGAAATGTATTGAGGTGGCTAGCTTTGGAAAATACGATCTGTTTCTGGTTCCTAAGCCCCACCCCTGGAGAATTAGTACTGAAGGTCTGGAGTGAAGCCTCAGGATTGAAGTTTTTATATGTTCCCAGGTGATTCTGTTGTATATCCAGGACCAGGCAATGGCCCTTTGTCTAAGACCCAGGGCCCCTCAATCCTGAACTCAGAGCTGTCCCCACAGGAGGTGCAGCAGAGATTGGCTGCTTGCCCGGCATGGTAGTGTGACCAAGGGAAACCAGCCTCAGGCCAGCAGGGGGGACCCCAGGAGCAAGAGGCCTGCTCTTGTGCAAGGGAGGGTGGTGTCCCTAACCGGCCCTTATTAATGGGACCTTTTGGGAGCTGGTGTATCCCAGTAGCCTTCTTCCAACCCTGTGTGTGTCTCATTGGCACTTCCTGGCTTATAGACGGTAGTCTCCAGGCTGCTGGTGGTACAGTACGATAGGGTGGCATGGTATTTGGTGGGCAGAGTTTCAGTCCTTCTCCCCAGGGTGCTCACTGCCATTTGGTGATTTCCTCTCACAGCTGTTCTCCAGCTTCAGTTTGTTTAGACTGATTCAACCTGAGGAATGTTGGAGGACTGCAGTTGGTGGGCAGTATTGTAGGAGGGGCTGCCCTCAGCCCCTGGGGGTGGACTACGGAGGCAGGAGATGGGAGGCAGGGGACCTGGGTTCCAGCTCCAGCTCTGCTACAGTTTTGCTCTTTAGCCTTGGGTAGGTCATATCTCCCCTCAGAGCCTCAGTTTCCCCAACAGTCACGTGTGTGGAGCCTCAGCTCCCATTCTCTTAAATGACCTGCGTGGAGTGGAGCTGCACTCCCTTAACAGAAAACCTAATGTGGCTCCCCATTGCCCATAGTCTTGGAGCCCTGCCTGCCCTCCACACCTGTGTACCAGGGGCCCTGCGCACCACTCCAGCCTCATCATCCCTTCCCTGAACTTGCCATGCACCTTCACCCCTCTGGCCTTTTGTATATACCGTTCCCTCTGCCTGGAATACTTTCTCTTGCTTTCACTGCCTGGCAAACCCCAAAGTTTGGCTTTTATCACCTCCTCCATGAAGCCTGCCCCCTCCTGCTAGTTACCTCTGTGGTGTGTCCCTGCACCCTACCCCTTGGGTATTCTGTGATCTACATTGGGATCAACAGCTAGCCTCCCAGCTGGGGGGGGGGGTGGGATTGAGAGGGGAGTGTTTGCAGACCAGCCCAGGCTTTGGAGTCAGTCTGGATTTCAGTCCAGCGCTGCTGCGACACACCCGCCTGTGTGACCTCAGGCAGGTCGCCCCACCAATCTAAGCCTCAGTTTCCTCATCCCTGAGTTGGGGCTCATGATCACTAAACAGAATTCTCATGATTTTTTAAGGACATCAGCGACAGAAGTAGAGAGTCTATGTGAAAGAGGTTTGGGGCGGGGTAGAGTTATCAGAGTTTTCAGAGCTCATTGCTTCCCTTGCCTTTATCGAAGAATGTGGAGGTATAAGGGGAGCCGAGCCCCCTGTACTGTAGGTAAGGGCGAGGCGTATAATAGGTGCTCACGTTCAGAGTAGGAATATCCTTAAAGATTAGATGAATGAATGAGTGAATGAAACGAGGCAACTAGTTTCTGAATTTGGATACACCTTTTTGCCAGACCTTGTCTGTGCACCTGGTCCGGGGACAGCAGCCGAGGCGGGAAGTCCCGCCCCCAGGAGCCCCGCCCCCGGAGGAGCCCCGCCCCGGGGCCGGAGCCCCGCCCGTCTCCTAGCAACTGTCAAACATAATTGCGCAGCGGCGTCCTGCTCCGGTGGGCAGACTGCGTCCTTGGAGCCTTCTCGCCTGGGGGCCGTGACGCCCAGGCTGCTGCCCAGCGCCTCCCCTCGCAGGTACCAAAGGTCCCTCTCTACCTGCCGCTCCAGCTGGGCACCCCGTTCTAAACAAAACGTTAGCCCGGGTTCCTCCTCCATGGACCCTGAGCTTGTGCCCTGAACCCAGCACTCAGGGCCCATTCGTGCCTTGCCTCGGGGGTTCCTCCCCTCTTTGACCTCACCAGACTTTTGCACGTGCTGTCCCCTTGCCCGGTTCGCCTGTCCCCACATTGCAAACTCATCCTGGGCTTTGGCGCTGCCCTCACCCTGAGGCCTCCCCTAGTGGAAGCACAGGGTTTTCTCCCAACTTTGCGGTTCTTGGGTAATTGCACTTAGCTGGAGCTGGCATTCCAGAGTGCCAATGATTGACTCGTGAAAGGAGGAGCAGCTGGGGCTGGGGGAGGATAGAGACTCAAGTTGGAGAAACGGGTTGCTTGTTATCATGATTACTGCAAGCCACCATTCTCTGTGGTTCATTGTTGAGTGCCTACTGCATGCCAGGCAGTGTCTGAGGCCTTGGCCGTTCAACCCAGGACGGGACAGGGGAAGGGAAGGAGGGGAAGGGTGGGTCATCCTGAAAGAGGCAGGGCTTACCTCCTGGGAACAGAGGGAGGTGACAGCAGCGCCTTTATTTTCTTGCAGCCAGGAGTGCCACGCCCGTGGGTGCTCTGCAGAATGTCGCTGCATGCCTGGGAGTGGGAGGATGAGGACAGGGCGAGCATGGGGCCCATGTCCTCCATGGCCAGCTTTTACCAGTCTGGGAGTGAGTGTGATATGGAGGAGTACCTGAAGGTCAAAGCCCAAGCCCAGGAGTCAGACTCTGAGCACCCATGCAGCAGCGAGTCCTCATATGGGCCTGCCAGCACCTTCAACTCCGATGTGCCCCAGGTTGTCCCCTGCAAATTCATCATCTCACTGGCCTTCCCGGTGAACACTGGTAAGTGCTGGAGCAGAATCCCAACACTCTCTGCAAAATGGGGTGCGCTAATGACCTTCTCCCAGAAGTTTGGGGCACCTGAGCTCCCTCTACTGGCTTCCCCAAGTGAGGCGGCCAATGCCAGCAGCAGAGGTCAGGAAGGAAACTGCAATTTTAGGGAGCCCATTGTGGGCCAGACAAGTGAGTGATTAAATAGGCTTCACATGCTTAATCCTCTCAACAACCCTAAAAAGCAGGTGGTATTATTTCTGCTTTTTGTGGATGAGTAAATGAGAACCCATACAGCGTGGGTTCTCATAATCTGGCTGTGCATCACCAAATCCCTTGTTTAAATTCTCAGATGTATTGAATGAAAATCTCTGAGCGTATAGGTATATCAATTACCTTTTGCCCCCCAAATTCTGTGTAACAAACCCAAACAACTTCCCAAGTCAGGGGCTTCAGACTGGAATCCCTTGTTCTCCTGGATAAGCAGGTCAGCGGCTCCAGGCTAGGGTCCCTGCGGTGGCTCCGCTCTGCTCCCCGTGTCTCTCATCCTCCTCCTGGACCTGTGGGTCAGCCAGACACATTCTTGTTATAGAAAGGCAGAGACACATGAGAGGGCAAGCCCAGACAACCCAGAACTCTTCAAGTCTTTGGGCACCTCCCACCTGCTCACATTTTTTTGGCCAAAGGGAGTCACATGATTGAACCTCTAAGAATAGGGGCAGAGAAAAGAACTCCACTTTTGATATATATCTATTTTTGTCTACTTGCACTAACCCCCCTGAAGATTAGTTTCAGCTTCTCCTTGTAGTTCTATCCATTCTTGCCTCAGATATTTTGGAGGCTCTTTAGTTAGATGTATATATATACCATGTTTAGAATTGACCCATCTTCTTGGTGACTTGAACTGTTTTTACCACCAAGACCAGGGGGAGGCAGGTGAAGCGCCACAGGTGAAAAATGTAAGGAGGCGCTCCCTCTCAGCGTCATGCAGTGAATTTCTGCACCCTGTTACTCCACTGGCTAGGGGGCCTGGACCTGCATCTCAGCCCCGAGTGGGGCAGACAGCATGGGGGTGGGCGGCCTCCCACAGCATCAGGCTCTTTTTTGGTTCCAGGGAACTGTGGAGACGGGTGTGCTTTCCCATGTGAGGTTCAAACAAGACTCATTAAATCCGTGTCTTCTAGGTTATAAAGGAAAATATACAATTTTGATGGAAAAATACAGGAAACACCCTAAAATGGACAAACCTGCTGCAAAGGTTCGGCGTTATTACCACATTGAGTATTTCCTTCTGCCCGATGATGCGGAGCCTAAAAAAGTTGACATGGTGGTGTTTCCAATGGTGGCCAAAGTGTTCCTGGATTCAGGAGTAAAGGTGTGTGTGTGTGTGTGTGTGTACACACACCTCACATACAGTCTAATACTACAGAAAGTGTGCTTGCTTCCCTTGGAGCTTGCTAGAAATGCAGGATATGCACTGACCTCCTAATACCCTTTACCAGACTATTTATATATCTTTAGTCATTTCTTTGGTGTTTCAAAAGTTTTTGAAACTTTGGTGTTTTCAAAAGTTTTTGCCACTCTTGTGATTTCCTTCTCTGTGTGAGTACCTGTGTGTATCCATGTGTGTGCATACCTGCCTGCCTGCACACACATGCACCCGCCTGCCTATGGCCTGACTCTGGGTCAGTGCTTGGAAGTTCCTGGAAAGGGCACGATTGGCAGGTAATTGCTTTGACTCTGTCTTTTCCGATGAACCCAGACGTGTGACGGGGCCCCAGCCAGGACACCCATTTCCTGATGTGAGGTGGGGGCTGGGGGAGCGCCAGGCACAGAAGGCAGACAGTGGAGAGCAGCACCCTGGAGGACGAGGCTGGTGGGAGTAACCTCAGGCTGCTAAGCCTCCCAGTCCTGCACTTAGAGCCTCTTGGTGTTCTTTTACACAGACAGTGAGGCCATGGCACGAAGGGGACAAAGTCTGGGTGTCATGGACCCAAACTTTTAACATCAACGTGACGAAGGAATTACTAAAGAAAATTAATTGTCACAAAATAACCTTGAAGGTCTGGGACACTAAGGACAAGGTTTCGAGAAAAGTCAGGTATTACCGGTTAAAGAATACTGGGTATTCAGAAGATACAGGATCTTTCGGTAAGTCAGGTATTTGTGTTTTGTTTGAAATGTTTCTCGAGGCGTGTGACTTCTCACCGGTAACAGGATCAAAACCAGTGTCCCCTCCTTTACTTCATCTCACTTTCCCGGGGCACATGTGGCTTTGAGTGTCAGTGGTGTGTCATCCCTCCAGGACAAGCTTGAGCATCAGGAAGTACTGCCCCCTGGAGTTGTGTTTGAGGGTGCGCAGTGTCTGTGTGCATATGCATTGGTCACCACCTCTACCTCCGTCACATTTCTGGACTTCCTGTCCCCAGGCAGCACCCACATGTGCATTCCCCACCGGCCTGTCTCCTGGCTGAGTATTGGGTGTTCACTGACAAAAAAACACCAGGAAACAAGAGAAAACTTAAGAATCCCATGACCCTGAGACCACCATATTAGTCTTTTCATATAGACCCTCAAGATTCTTATTCTTATTCTCACAAACAGGGGATAGGGGCAGAGGGAGAGGGAGATGCAAGTTCCCCACTGAGCAGGGAGCCCGACGCAGGGCTCTATCCCAGGACCCTGAGACCATGACCTGAGCTGAAGGCAGATGCCAACTGACTGAACCACCCAGGCGCCCCGGGTAAATATTTTATCAATGCCAGAAAGTCCCCTTTTGAGCTCACCTCCAAGGAGAGAGCTAGTAGGAGTGGAAAGATCGAGGCTTTGAAGTCAGCCAGCTCAATTCAACCTGTCTCCCTTCTTGAACTAGCCAATGACCTTGGGCACCTTCCCACTTCCTCTGCTTATATGCCCCGAGGCAGGGTGATGGGAGTGCACCCCCCCAGCAATAAAAAGAGTGTGTGTTGTCTATATTTAAAAACTAAAATGCTGCAATTAAACTATGCTGTGGGGTTAATTGTTAGATGCATCCAGTTTTTAGAGATGTCAAAATGTCACGGGGATGTGCATCCAAGAATGGAAGGAGTGTGTACTATTATCACTGTTGTTGGTGGCTCCAGATAAGTATAGTTACCCCCATTTTACAGTGAGCAAAGGCGACTGACACCTGCTTGAAGTGTGTAACAGCGCCAGAATCAGAACCCTTTTTTTGGTGACTAGAAACCCTCTGCTTTCTCTGTCTTTCTAGCCTGCCTTCTTGGGGAGCCTTTCTGGCACCGGGGACTTGGCACTTCTGACTGTTCATCTTTCACTTACATCTGGGGTTTCTTACCCTAGGTGCTGTTGGCATTTTGGATCAGATAATTTCTTTTTGTGGGAGCTGTCCTGGGCACTGTAGGATGCTCAGCAGCATCTATGACCTCCACCTGCTGGATGCCTGTAGTAGCCTCCCAGTTGTGACAACCAAAATTTTCTTCAGACATTGCCAAAGGTCTCTTGCGGAGGGGAGCAGAATCACCCCTGGCTGAGAATCATTGGTTTATATCTAAACTACTCATTGTAGGGTTTCTGTGTGAGAAAATGGGATTCAAGGTGACTTTCTTGCTTGGACCAAACGAAAGACCCATGTCTTCAAAGCATGGGGTTCAAAACCACCTGCGTTAGATGCATTTGGAGGGCTGCCCAAATGCAGATTCCAGGGCCTGCCCCAGAGCTGCTGAGCCAGAATTTCTGGTAAACATCTGCCCCGAAGTGAGCTCACATTGGAGCAGGGGTGCTGGGGCAGGTGTATCAGGAAGGATTCCTGGAGAAGGGGCCATGGGAGCCAAGTGTGGAAGGGTAAATGGAGTCAGCTGGCCAGAAAAGGGAGGAGGAAGGGTGTTCTAGACCCTGCAGGGAGGGCCATGGGCCTTTGTGAGTGTTCTTGAAATGATAGCACTTGCCCCTCCCCAAGCCCCATCTCACGCCTGACATCACTGCCTCTTACGTTAAATCATTTCTTTCCATAAGCAGTGTATGTTCACTATGTAAAACAATTTAGAAATTGACTAGCATATGGGCGCCCAGGTGGCTCAGTCGGTTGGGTGTCCAACTTGTGATTTCCGCTCAGGTCAGGATCTCGGAGTCGTGGGATGATGGTCTCAGTAGGGAGTTGGCTTCTCTCCCTTTGCCCCTCCCCACACACGTTTTCTCTCTCCTTCTGAAATAAATAAACTTAAAAAAAAAATTGACTAGCACAAGGGAGAAAGAAATAAGATCACATGATGCTTGACCAGAGGTAGTCATTGCTATCATTTCCCTGTGCATTTTATATGTAAGTAGAAAGAATATTTTAATGAAAATGCATCTGGTGTACATGCTGTCCTAAGTCCTGCCTTTTTTCACTTTAAAAGATATCTTCTTGAAACTCTTGTCTGTGGGAGGGCAGAAACAGCATGAGAGGTTTGGCTCATGTTCCAAAGAGGATGGGAAATGTATTTGGGTGAACCATAGGTCCCATGCCCAGAACTGGTTAGTTTTCAGCCTGCTGGTCTTGAATGGAACATCCCATCAAAAGTCAGCATTTTTCCTCTATTAAATCTGCTCGGCTTCTTGGTTTCTCAGTTACTGGACAAAGACTGCACCATTCACGAAGCCCCTAAGTCATATGTGACCCCGGCTATGCCCTTAGCTCTTGGCCATCACTGCACCCAACACCTGGTTAGTGTTCCTGCCTGTGTGGTGTCCTCTGGGACTCTCTACCCCTCAGCTGGCTCCTCCCTCTGCATCCAGGTCTCTTCCCCATCTCCTCTCTCCTACCACTGTTCCCTGACTTGTCTATAGCCCTGCTTTGACCTTGGCACTTCATTGCTCTGAACCTTTTTATGGCCACCCAGTGGCTTAGGGAACCAGGTCTGTCTTCTGAGTCTGGTCTTGAAGGCATCCTCTAATTTGTTCCCCACGCCTCTTTTCTCGCTGCTATTCTCACCTTCACTCCTGGTCCCTGAAAACACTAGGGTTTTCCCCGTTGTGAGACCTGCCTTCAGCTATGGGGCCGTACCTCACGGGCTCTTAGCCTCATCTCTTTCTCCACAATTGGTATCTTCCTTCAACACTGAATCCAATTGCATCTCTTCTTTTCTTCACCTCTTTCTTATAGCTTCCATTATCTGCATTCATTATTCCTCACATGTTGGTTGCTGCCACAAGCATACAGAGTCCCGTATTGATAGAATTGAAAGATAGAGGGCTCATCTCCCTAGCTGGCTGCAAGGAGCCCTGGGGTTGGGGGGAGGGGATAGTTCTGGCTTAATAAGTACCAGCTCTCTGGCCACAGGAAAGTTATGTGTCCTACTCCCCATCTGTAAACTAGGGGAAGTGGGAGTGCCTTCCTTCAAGTGAAGTGCGATGATTAAATGGAAGGACGCATGTCAAGTATGTAATGGTCTTATTTGGAAGAAGCCATTGCCAGTTGAGGATTGGATTTCCTGATATTTTGAAGCAGTGCCTAGGCAACTGCTCCTGGAGGGCAGGGGCCCTACCTGTCTTATCCACCTGCTCCATCTACAGCACTAGGAGAGTGCCGTACACATAGAAGGTGTTTGGTAAGCATTTCTGATTGATTGAGTCAATGGTTCTCCTACATTCTAGAGGAAGTGAAAAATTTGGTTTTAAATCAGAGAAGATTATCTGCACAGGCCCCACACATCAAAGAGGAGTGGAACCAGGAGGATGCACGAGAAAAAGCAGGAAAACACATCAAGTCTTTGCATGGTGAGTGGACATGACTTTGTGGACAAGCTGGGGGAAGTTGATGGCAGGGAAGGGGATAGATGGGTGTTGCTGGCATCGTGCATGTACACTGGGATCCTTCCTGTGTATCAGCAACTCCTGCTGGTGCTGGTTCACTCTAGAACCCAGCGCTGTTTCAGTGCGGGAATCACTTTTTGTTGTTGATCCCTTCTTTTTGTTTAATTTTTATTTCATGACTTACAAAACTTTTCTAACTATAGAAGTTATATATGTGTGGTTTGTTTTTGTTTTTGTTTTTAGAAAACGTCAGTGAATATAGAAAGTATAAACCAAGCAGGGAAATCAATCTATAGTTCTATCACCAGGAACAAGCATTGTAATTTTTTGGTTATCATGGCAAATTCCTTTGTTGTAAGATTTTTTTTTTACATAGATAGGGTTGTTCTGGATACATAATTTTGTATTTTGAGATTTTGTATTCCGAGATTAATATGCACTTTCCTATTAACATGCACTTTCCTATTTACTTAAGAACTTTGCATAAACTCCATTTGTGGCGGCTACATAATTTTTCATCTGCTGGTAGCACTGTAACATTCCCTGTAGGTGGGGATGTAGGGATCTTGGGAGTGTTACCAGTATCCTCTAATGTAAACAGTGTTGAATTGGACAACTGAATAGATAATAGATTTTTTTTTTTCCTTTCTTTGTTTTCCCTCTGTGGGATATTATATAAGAAATTGGAGGCTTCCTCTTGTCTCCATTTGTCCAAATAATCCTAATTAGTCTGTATATTCATTCATTTACTCGTTTATTATTAACCAGCCTTTTTATGCTCACCACACACCCATCCCTCTGCTTGGTGACTGCCATTACAAAATGAGTAAAGGGCCCTCATTTCTTAATGAACTAGAATGGAACAGGATGTCCATTTGCTAATAAATATTATCAGATTCTCACCCAGCAGAGTCTGAAACTTTTCCCAAGATCTCCGAGGAATATGAAAAGATACCCAGAATGGAAGATCTTGCCACAGTTCGGTAAGGATGGACCCATGTTATTTTAGGGAGTGGGAGTGGAACCCCCTCTTGTACAAGCTCTACAGACTCTCACCAGGAGTCATGTGGATTTTTAGTAACTTAGAGCTCATGCAATCTGGGTGAAATTAAAGGAATAGAGAAAGGAATGCTGTGTTTATGAGTGCAAACATGCACTGTGCTTTTGCACTTGTTGGTTTATCTCAATCCTCATCATGGTCAGTGAGGTGGTATTACTATCTCCGTTTTCTTCACAGCATAACAGAGTGGTTAGTGATTTGCTCAAAGTTTTAAAACTGGAATTCTTGGGAGTGTTGGTAAAGCCAGGACTCCAGCCCATATTTTCAGATCACTGAGTCCACAGCGTTTCCTGCTGTGAGTGCAGTTGCTCTTAGAGCCTAAGAAGGATCTGGAGATTCCTTGGATGCTGTGGGGACCAGAGGTAGAATGGAGGCCCAGCTGGTGGCTTGGGAGAATGGGATGGGGAGAACAAAGGGACTATGTCATTAAAAATTTTTGACTTTTAAAAAATTGTTTTTTGTGTTGAATTTATGCACTAATTTGAGAAGAATTGACATTTTTACATTGTGAGCCTCTCCCATCCATGATTATGGTATATCTTTTCACCTAATTCAGCTCCTCCTTTATGATTTTTAATAGAGTTAATTTTTTTTTCTTCCTATAGATGTTGGATAATTCCTGTAAATGAATTCCTGGATATTTTAGAGTTTTGACTGCTTTCATAAAAATATATTATTTTCCATAATATTTCTAGTCAGTTAGAAATTGATAGTCAAAGTGTGGTCTGCCGAGCAACAGCATGGGCATTACTGGGAACTTGTTAGAAATGTGGAACGTCAGATCCACCCCAGGCTTACTGAACCATACCTGCATTTTATTTAACAGCATTTCCAGGTGATTCATATGCACATTGAAATTTAAGAAGCATCGGTTAGAGGAATGCAATGTCATTTTTTAAAAATCTGCTCACAGGACGCCTGGGTGGCACATTCGGTTAAGCGTCTGCCTTGGGCTCAAGTCATGATCCCAGAGTCCTGGGATTGAGCCCCACATCAGGCTTCTTGCTCAGCGGGGAGCCTGCTTCTCCCTCTGCCTGCCACTCCCCCTGCTTGTGCTCTTTCTCTCTGACAAACAAATAAATAAAATCTAAAATAAATAAAAATCTCACAAATGGTACAGTAAATAGATTCTTAGATTTGGTCCTGATTTTTTTCACCTTCATTTATTTTTCTCTCTGTGTATTTTCTAGATGGAGTATTTCAAGAGAAACAGCTCTTTCTTTGGGAGCAGCATCTGGGATGGAGATGAAGGAATTAACTGAGAGATCATCATTTAACAGCTTAACAAACATGTTAGAAAAGCAAAAATTTCAAAGTAAGTTAGGATGGGATTTTGGAATTTTATAATATAATTAGACTTAGAAGAATTATGAAATATTTCAAATTCAGAATACTTCAGAAAGATTCTTTGATATCTGGCCAAATGTTACTTGAAAGTAAAAGAACACTACATACACTTTCAACTTACCCATTCTGTCTCGCCTCACCCAGGCATTCCATCCCACCTCATCCCATTCACTTACCCGCATCATCTCACCCATCCGCACAACATCCCTTCCCACTCCACCAGTGTTTCCGTGCTCCTGACTCACGATGTTGTGAACATGGGGGGCATGAAAATCCCTAATGTTGACTGTAGACTTTCAAATAAATAACTACATTCCTTTTTTTTTTTTTTATTTATTTATTTTTTATTTTTTTATTTTTTTA